ATATGATGTCCCTCCCTGTGCCTGAAAGAATATTAAAGTACAAGATTTCTGCCCCTTCTCATCCAAATCTACCCACCCTTTAAAAGTCATTAAGTCTTGTCTCCTTTGTGAAACCTTCTCCAAAGAGCCCAATCTCTAAAATTACTTTTCTAGATCTTATTTTTCTTTTTAAATTGGGACTTTTTGTTTGATATGCAATAGAATATTCTTTTGCATTTATAAACTGAGTAGTATAATTTTGGATAGTGTTTTTCTGAGTATATAGAAATTAACACTCATTGAGTTCTTACGATGTACTAAATACTTCCTGTATTAAGAGACTTATATACAAAGTATTTCTTAATTGCTCCTCACAATTTTATGAAGTAAAGACTTACATAATCTTCATTCTACAATTGAGAAAACTTATACATCAAAGTAATGTCTGGTGACATAACAAGTAAGTTGTAGAAGCGGTTTTGAATCCTTAGCTAACTGATTCTACAGCAGTTTGAATTTTCAATGATAAGGCATGCAGTCTAGAGAACTAGAAAGAACTTCAGAAATCATGGTACCTAAGTCATTGATTTTACAAATGAGAAAATGCAGGCCCTTCATCTGGTAAGTGCGAGGTTATCTACTGACAGAGCCTCAATTAGAATTAAGGTTACTAAACTCTAGGGTTTTGTTTTAACTAAACTACATTTTTTCCCACTTCACAGAGGTAGAAATTAAAAGGAGAAAGGGAAGAACATACAGATTTAAAAGCATACAGACATAAATATATTTTTTTAACTGCCTGAGATAGCAAACATTAAGCTATGAAAAGTTAAAGATGGAGGCAAAGAGGAAGCCTATTATGTGAGAATATAAGGTGGCAGTGCAGGCTGTATTTGAGAAATGATACTGAGTAGTCATAATGACCCTACAGACAGAGTAGCACTGCTCCACAGGATTTTCAAGACTATAACTTTTTAAGGAGCACACAGTCTCATGCTTTTCCTGCAGATCTGCTGACCTTGTGACTGGCAGCTGAATGATTAACCCACTGCACCAGCAGAGTTCCTTTGCCAAGCATAGGTAATTTAAACTTATTCTCTACCAGTTACACTAGCAGTCATTTTGGAAACCAATCTCCATAGCACATAAACACATTTTCAAATATTCCCTTGAAGAGGAGCTATTCCTCATTGAGAAACACTCTTCAATATTATACTTTTTTTTATTTTTGAAGAGAAGGGATAAATAAGAAAACAAAAAGTTGAACTACACTATTATTCTCTTCCTATCCATATGCTTTATGTTGGTTCCAAATATTTGAGTATTCATAATTTTTTTTAAGTTCCTAAGCATCAAATGTGACAGAATTGTTTATAACTTTTAAAAGGTACAGAATACAATAGTTAATATTTTCCCTAGCCAAGATTTCAAATACCTATATTCAATCTGAAAACCCCCTTTTCAAGTTTTACTAATCCTTGCCAACTTTTATCTTAGCAATCCCAGTCAGTGCTAGTCAGTCAGACTTTGTCAAGGAAAGAAAAGGGGAAAGGGCTGGTAAGTTAAGACCTTTAACTGGGATATACTAAATAAAGAATGAAAAATTAATTAGTACAGTCCCATGAGTCTGAAAGAAGTAGCATGGCGTAGTGGTTCAGAGCAATTATTTTGAGTTAGTCATGAATGAGTTTGAATCGAAGACCTGCTGCTTTTAAATGGGCTGTTATTGTTGTTGTGAAGTGCTGTTGAGTCGCTTCCGACTCATAGCAACCCTGTAGAGGAGCAACTGTGAGCTTGAACTGCCGACCTTATAGTTCAAATGGCTTTGCAGTCTGGCACAGTGACACACCAGGACTCCTTTTTAATGGGTTGTTGTTGTTAAGTGCCGTTTCAGACCCACAGCAACCCTGTATAGGGTTTCCTAGGAACAGCTGGTGAGCTTGAACCACCAACCTTGCAGTTCAAATGGCTTTGCAGTCTGGCACATTGACCCACAGTGACACACCAGGACTCCTTTTTAATGGGTTGTTGTTGTTAAGTGCCGTTTCAGACCCACAGCAACCCTGTATAGGGTTTCCTAGGAATAGCTGGTGAGCTTGAACCACCAACCTTGCAGTTCAAATGGCTTTGCAGTCTGACGCATTACCCCACAGCGCCACACAAGGACTCCGCTTTTTAATGGGTAATAGAGTATAAATGGAAAACTCCTAAGTCCAACAGCACAGGCTCAGATAAGGGAAGATTCCCACAGTGCTGGTGTTTCAAGGATTGGAACCTATACATTTCATGTGGGTGATAAAGGTTGTTGAGGAGTAGAATATTGTAGCACATGATAATACAAGTTGTTTTTGAACAATGAAGTAGCTAAGGGCAGCAAGCCCATAATTTTCTACACTTCTGACTGGTGGGCACTTCGATCTGCCAAGACTACATTGTCTAATATTTCCTTTGAGAATAATCCAAAGTAAAAGCAATTTTGAATAGATCCAAGTCACCATTATTACATATCAATAAACCCAAAAGGCTCCATGATTTAGCTTAACAGAATAAACTAGGTAAGTTATTTAACTTCCTCAAGCCTCAGCTTTCTCATTTACAAAATGAGGGTAATCATGCCTATCTCAATGGAATGTTAGGAAGAGCAAACGAGGTATTATGTGAAATGCTATTTCTCGTACAAAGCAGACACACAATAATTATTAATGATTCTAATTATTTACCTGGATACAAATGTGTAGAAAGTGGGTACCCATTACCATCCTTTTTCATTTTCTAGAACTGGATATGCAGAGTGTATGTTACAGAATTTGGGCACGGCAGTAGTAGCGGTATACCTAGGGCAGCTTAGCTGGAGCTGGCAGGACTCACCAAGAATTCTGACTAATTTTCATCTTTCCTAGATCTGATCCTTTGAAGACCCAGAGACTCCTTTATGGCATCATTTGGGTAATCTCTAAAAGCAATGGCTCTCAAAGTGTGGTCAAAGAACCGTTAAGCACCCTACTTTCTAAACTATTTTTTATAAATAACATTAAGACCTTATTTGCCTTATCTACTGAGTTTATATTTAAGCATCAATAACACGAAAACAATGGTTGGTAAGGCTATTGGGGTCTTAGCATGAATCAGGCAGTGACAAGAAACTGTACTAGGTTGTATTCTTTGTCATGCCCTTACAGTTAAAAACATTTTTGTTCCAAATTAAGAATGTACTTGATGAAGAAGTAAACATTAGTTTTACTAACTCCTGACCCTTGAGTATGCTGTTTTTAGGTGTCCCAGTCCTACAAATACATGGAAGTGATTCTGCCAACAACCTCTAAGAGCCAGAAGGAATTTCTCCTCCAGAGTTTCTAAATTAGAATACAGACCAGTTGACACCTAGACTATCACCTTTGAACCCTAAGTTTTAAACCCAGTCATTATTGCCCAAACTCCAAACCAACAGAACTCTGATAGAACAAACAGTGTCTCTTGAAGCAGCTATTAAAACCCACTACCATAGAGTCAATTACAACTCACAATGACCCTATATGAGCAGAGAACTTCACCTTTCTTCCACGGAGGGGCTGGTGGATTTGAACCATCAACCCTGCAGTTAATAGCACAATGCTTATCCCACAGCACCACCAGGGCTTCTAAGATGCCAAGTAAATGGTAATTTCTTATGAAAGTAACAGAAAACTAATACATATGGTAAGTGAACCTTTCTGGAGATCCTGAGTCTCACCTATGATGAGTGTAGGAGGTGAGAGGGACAAGAAATAAGCCTAGATCCACTGAAGGTGGAAAATAGAACAGGAAGTCCCTGTATAGAAGGAGAACCTCCAAGGCTCATACCTTCAGAATATGGACACATGGCAATTAAAAAGTCACTTTGAGAAAAATTTCAAGGCATATCATATTTAACTATATCCCCATGAACTAACTGACAAAAACTGTAACAAGTGATGACATTTCATTCTTATATTATCCTCCCCACATTTTTTTCTCCTCTCTTTATGATCATTTTAATACCTCCTCAAATATAAGTATAGCACTGTGTGACTAGTTTCTACACAACACATTTACTGTCAGTTAAGAATCAGCATATTAAGTCTGCTGCTTAAAGACTTCATAAAAACAACTCAGAGGCAAAGGACTAACGGCTAGGAATTTTACCAACTACTGTAATACAGTTAGTTCATGGAAAGAATAATTTTGGAATTCTACAATGAGAGGCAGTGCTCAAAATTATCAAGCTATTTTTTTTTTAACTTGTTTTGTGAAGAAGTCAATATAGAGGGAAGATCGTAAGAATTGAGAAAGGAACAAAGATACATACTCCAGCCCTTGTCCATCTCTAGTATCTACTCAAAGGTTTAAGTATGAAACATTTCAGTACTCCTGAAATTCATGTATTCCTTTTGCCCATAAATCCAGATATTATCACTAAAATACCTGCTATTGACACTGATTACTCGCTGTGGAGTCAATTCTGATTCATAGCAATCCTGTATAGGGTTTCCAAAACTGTAACTCTTTATGGGAACAGAAAGCCTCATCTTTCTCTCAAGGAGCAGCTGTTAGATTTAAACTGCTAACCCACTATGCTACCAGAACTCCTTTATCACTATTAAGTATCTTCAAATAAATTAATTGTACAGATAATGGTTTAGACAGACCTGAATTTAGAGGCAAGGAGTCCTGGTATGGTGCTGTTGGTTAATGCGCTAGACTGCAAAGCTGTTTGAACTGCAAGGTCGGCGGTTCAAGCTCACCAGCTGCTCCTCGGAAACGCTATACAGGGTCACTATGGGTTGGAATCGACTCTATGGCACTTAACAACAACATATCCATTTTACCTCTTTTTCTGTCACATGAGTACAACAGCAAATAGCTCAAACTACATGGTGCCTAAAGCACGTGGCATTCTAATTAAGTATTGAATGAAGATTAAACATAGATCTGCATAAAACAAACATTATTTCACGCTCTTGGGAGTTTTCAGACAGAAATAAAAGAATAGGATTTTTTCATACCTGCTATGATGTGCAAACCTTCTCATATCTTCTGATTTTTGAAACTCCCTAATGGCTACTGGCTTAACTGGGGAACCCTAGACCACAAAAGAAAAGTAAGCCAAGTTAATAAATACTCCCAGAATACTATGCTTGCACACTTCACATTCAACTTGGCATTAGGGATTTGTGTATTACACTAAAAATACATTTTAATAGAATCTTTAAATGTGAACTTTTATTTATTTTTTGAAGATCAACATATGTTTTATTGACAGATCTGGAGGGCCGAATCCTTCTCTGAAAGACTGTCTTGCCCTCCCCCATACAGTCAGACCTCTTCTACTCCTCTAGGAACCAATCTAGCTACATTGTTACTCTTGTCTCAGATTTCTATGGCTCTCATCACGTGATATAGTTTATGTCCCATTGAATCAAGGCACCTTACATCCTGGGACATGACTGCCCCAAACAATGTTAATGGCTTTTTCAGAAACCTTTGTCATAAAGTTACAGATTTTTGTTTTTGTTTTTTTAAGTTTTTATTGTGGATTGAGTAAAAGTTTACAGGGCAGATCATCAGTTTTACATTTAACAAATCATACACCTTGTTTCATTACAATGATTATAATCCCTCCATGTACCATCAGTTAACAATGTTTCTCTCTATTCACTTTAGCTTTTTTTTTTTTTTTTTTAACACTCAGGCATATACAATTAATTTATACCACAAAAGGGCACATGCTGCAAGTTTGCCTCCTGGCCACCATCGCTTAGTTCCTCACTGAACTTTTATTTTTAAAAGCATTATATGCCGTATTATTGCCTTGATAAATGCAAAAATATTGATAATCTACCAAAGTTCATTTTCTGAGATTTCCTTCTCACTGTATTATATCAATTATAGTGACCACACCAAACCAAACCCCCTGCCATCAAGTTGATTCTGACTCATAGAGACCCTGTATAGGCTTTCCAAGGCTGTAAATCTTAACAGAAGGAGAAAGCCTCATCTTTCTCCTGTGGAGGAGCTGGTGATGGTGAGCAGTCCAGTGCTTATCCTACAGTGCCAGCATCCATAGTGATATTTACTGAATGGTAAGACTGTATAGAGTTGGGAAGGATCTTAGAGGTCATCTAGTACAAATTCCTCCCAGGATAGATACTGCTTTTTACCTTACCCTGACAGTTGCTGAGCCCCTTGAATACTTCTAGTAGTAGAGCATTCAATGGGCAAACTACATTTCTTCACCTCTACCAACTGGTTATACATACAGTTCTAGTGATATTTGGTGGAATATAAAGATAAAGTAAAAAGCAATTTCAAGTTATGATAAATTATGGTTGTTGTTGTTAAGTGCCATCAAGTTGGTTCAAACTCATAACAACCCTGTATAGGGTTTCTGAGAAGTGACCAGTGGGTTTGAACTGCCAACTCTGTGGTTAGCAATCTAGTGCTGATTCTACAGCAAAATACTACTGGCAATTTATTTATAATCTTAAGGCTATGATTATTTTTTAAATGGATTACTGAGGAAAATTAAACTCGCTAAAGTGACACTATACTTTAGCAAGTTTCATGCAAAATAAACTACAAATTAAAAGCAGAGGCTTACAGATCAACAGAGCATATATTTTTTTCAATTAAAAAAAATCTATAGAAATATAATTTTATTTAAGCACCAAAATTATTATTAAAGGGGTATTCTTCAAGGAAAATAATGTATCCAAAAAGGATAACCACAAATCAAATGTAACTACTTACCATATATTACCATGAAATAGGTATATTACACATAATTCGTCAGTTACTTCAAAGTATTAAAGCTGAGTGTCTACAATCTGGGACATGAAATCATTTAAAATGAGCTATTATAGAATCTTCATGTAAATGCAAAATTTTCTTTTATCAAGAGTGCCTAGGTAGGGCAAACAGTTATGTGTCTGATTCATCCTGAAACACCTTGGAAGAAAAAGCCAGTGATGTGTTTCTGAAAGGTCACAGCCTTAAATCCTTATGTAACAGTTCTACTCTGGACACACAGGGTGTCTCCATGAGTTGGTACTGACTAGATGGCAGGGAGATTTATGTTCTATCAGTGACTTACCATCCTGGTTTTACGATACTGCAATTATTTTCAATTACTGCAAGAAGTGTATGGAATTCTCAATACAAAACTAATGTGGTATTTGTCCTAGTTTAAAAATAAATATGAGTGATACTGTATTCAGGAAGGTGTGGTTTGTGATGTGAGAGTTATAATAAATTTAAATAAGAACAAAATGTTTTAGATTTCACACAGCTTAATCTTTTAGTAATGCACTGTTAGATAATATGCAGAAGTATAAGATATTTCTTTACTGGTTGTTAAGCCATCTAAAATAATAGTGCTTCATCCAATTTTTTAGGATGTCAAATTTTAGAACCCCTTATTACATAGCCATAAAAAAATATAAAAATATTTCCACAGAAAATAGGTAGTTGGAATTAAAAAAATATATTCATGAGATAATCACAAAAATAGGATTAAATAAACAGTATTGTAATTTTTTACCAGTAGTATAATGGGAATTTCCATTTTTAGAAATATCACATCTTTCTAGCTGAATGAATCACAAAACAATCAAAGAGGAAGACCAAATCAAAAAGAAAAGGAGGAAAGAAAAGAAAAAGGATTCCCTTTAAAGGGTATAATGAGTCATTGTTAATTTTATTGCAAATTAGCTGCCCTTTGCTCTAGCAGGATTCCTATAGCCTGAATCACAAGTAATTTCATCAATTACCTGGGATATTGTGATCTTTGGGCTGCAGGACTTAGATTTTTACCATTTTATCGTACTTTAAATACAAGAGTGTCTCCCAAACACTAACAAAAAAAACTATGTTCAAAAGCTTTCAGATAGGAAAACCAAAACTTTTTTTGGAAGGAATGAAATTATCACTCCACAGCATATCCCACTTGAAGTGATTATTCTTTATTTCTAAGAAGCGAAATACATCATTCTTCAAAAAGGCCCCAAGTGTTTCTGAAATAACCCCTGCTTAGAGTCTGACCAACTCCAGACATCAACATCACACATACTGAAATGGAGCCATTCTATTATGCTGACTAGATAACATTCAAGAATGCTACTTCCACTTTCAACCCTTGGGGAATTGGCAGAGAATCTGTAGTGGGTTGAATGCTCATTTGTTGTCTAAGGATTCAATACCCCACTGTAAGAGATACCCAAGAATTTTAATGGCAGACAATTTATATTCTGTGTAACTTAGCATAAAAGATCTAATATAATTAAACTTACTATAAATTCTAATTTGCAAGTTGCACGAAAAATCAGCTTTTTGATTCAATTTTTAATTACTGATCAAACTATGATTTCCCAGTTAGTAATAATTAAGGCAATAAAAGTAATAATGAAAACATCATATTTCTTTGTGTTTTTTCTTTTTAAAGGTGTTTGTTTACTCTTGTTGTTAAGTGCCATCGAGTCAGTTCCAACTCATAGTGACCCTTTATAGTTTCCATGGAGCAGCTGGTGAGTTTGAACTGTCAACCTTATGGTTAGCAGTCCAGTACTTATCCTACAGAGGCACATTAGGACTCTTAAGACTACTTTTATTCCCTTTTCAAAATCCTGATGATGTGTCTTCATGTTTGACCAATAAACTCTACTTGAGACTACTGCCTGATTTCGGAATAAATCTGTAAAATTCAGGGGGAAAAATTAAGAACTGAACATAATAAATAGACCTGAACCAACAAAGCATTGAATGGCAGACATTCATCCTATTATGAAGTGTGATTACAAGGTGACAGCAACATCTTTAGGCTTAAATGTATGTACTACCTCATGAGAGATTCGCCGCTGTTCAATATATGCCATAAACTGTGAACTGAGACTGTCTGAGTCCAGGCCCTTGAGCTGCCTCACCTCGTCTTCTTCTTCCTCTGCAGCACAGCTGTCGATGTAATCAATCTGATCCAGATCATGTTCCACTGTACACCACACACACACACACACACCAGAAAGAGCATTCAGATTAGACAGCCAACAGAGTAAGCACTTATTTAAATCGCATTCTTTTTCTCCAACATTTTCTACTCTGAAAGGGGGAGAAATGAGAAAAAGTTTAAATCATGTAGTATTTATTATTTAATTCATGGCCATTCACAAAAGTATGAACCCAGATAATGCCAATCTTAATTCACTAGAGATGCAATAACAATGAACATTATTGAAATTTAGACCTCTATTTTTTTCTTTTGGTAGTTCCTAACTGTGGTAGCGTAGTGGTTACGAATTGGGCTGTGAATCTTAAGGTCAGCAGTTCGAAACTACCAGCTGTTCCGCGGGAGAAATTCTGCTCCCGTAAAGATTTACAGCCTCGGAAACCCTGTACAGGGTCGCTATGAGTCGGAACCAACTCCACGGCACTTAACAACAACAACTGTGGTATAGTGCTGTGCGCAGGACTGTAAAGTTGGCTTGAATTGTAAGGTCGGTGGTTCAAGCTCACCAACCACTCCTCAAAAACTCTATACAGGATCTCTATGGTCGGACCCACCTCGATGGCACGTAACAACAACTGTTTTAAAGAAAGCAGGTTGAGTCAGTAAGACAAACAGAGAGACTGATTTTTAAAGAATAATAGGTGCACCTACTTCTTTTCATGTTTAGGTTTGGGGCTTAAGCATAACCCCAAAACAAATCTGGAAGGTGAAAACCCTTGTACAATCAACTCAAAAGAAAATAGAAGGTCAAAAAAAAAGTATAAGAGAAAATTAGATTGGGCAAGAAATAGACATTGACTACTACTTCTCTTCCTGTAATTGTTGTTAATTAAAAGTTTTTAATTTAAATGCTAATCAAAGATTTTCCTATTTAGGAAATAGGAAAATTAGAGGTCAGCACTGCAGATATTTTGCAGCAGTTTGTGACTAAGAGGGAATCATTTGAGGAATTTTTCCCTTCTCAAAATGCTTTGAGGTGAGGAAAAAACATTAAAGTCACATTATTATCTCAACAGGTACGCTGGGAAAAGTCCCACTGGTTTTAAGTTTAAAAAGCAATTATTTAAAAAAAACTAGTTAAAATGGCAGATTAGATAAGATGCTGCTATGATGGTTTCTCTGAAAAGTTTTAAACCCCAGCTATTATTTTATGATGTTCAACTTAAATTATGGACTCCTGGTGTCGTTCTGTAGGATCAGAACTGGGCTGCAAACTCCAAGGTCAATGGTTTAAACCCATAAGCTGCTCCTCCGAAAAGAAACCCTATATAGGGTTGCTATGAGTCGGAATCAATTCTGATTAAAGTATAATAAGACCAATTGCTACAGAGCTGTTTCTGACTCATGGAGACCCCATGTGTTTCAGAACTGAACTGCACTCCACAGGGTTTTAAATAGCCTTTTTGTTGAGGAGTCGCTGTCTGGGTGGATTCAAACCACCACATTCTCAGTTAGTAGTTGAACATTTAACTGTTTGCATCACCCAGGGACCCCATGATGTTCTATATACTGTCTAAAAGTTGCAGTTGCTGAGAACACAATGAGTATGAAGAAATCTGTTTTTCAATTTATTCTTCTAATTCAATTATTTAAAATTAATTTTGTAACTACAATCAATACCAAATTAATGTTATTAGTTTTATTGTTATTACGTATCGAGTCAGTTCTGACCAATAGCGACAAAACAACAGAACAAAAGATGCCCGGGTGGTCCTCAGTCACCTTCACAATTGCTGCTATGCTTCAGTCCACTGTGGCTCTTTCTGTGTATTATATTTTTAACTGCTATTTTTTTTTAAATAGAAAGGATCTAAGTTTATCCACACTAGAAACCAGGTATATAAATGTACTTTTTCAATGTGCTACAACTTGTGGTTAAATCATAAAGAGTTATTACTATGACCATCTTTCAAGAATGCATCACTTAAATACTATATAAATTCAGTGCTATTTAAAAGAAATGGAATTAAACTCACAAAAGTGAATAATATATAATTTTCAATTTTCTAGTGCTTTGTGGCACTGTGGGCTAATGTGTCAGACTGCAAAATCATTTGAACTGCAAGGTCGGTGGTTCAAGCTCACCAGCTGTTCCTTGCAAATCCTACACAGGGTCACTATGGGTTGGAATCGACTCTATGGCACTTAACAACAACAACATATTCTAAAGAATAAGTAAAAAAGAATAAGTGATATTAATAATATATTTTACTCATTATAGCCAACATATAAACAATGTAAAGTATTAACAAGATTTTACATTCTGTTTTTCAAACAATGACTTGAAATTCTGATGTCTACTTAACACAATTCTACTAAATTTGGAAAAGTCACATTTCATATGGTCAATAACTACATGTGGCAGTGGCTATAATACTGGACAACAAATATCCAGACATCATTTTAAGTGTAAAACAAATTAACAAGAGCTATCTCATATAAAATAGGAGCTCTGGTAGCATAGTGGTTATGAAGCAGGCGGCTAACCTCAAGGTTGGCAGTTTGAAACTACCAGCTGTTCTGCGGGAGAAAGATGAGGCTTTCTGCTCCCGTAAAGGTTTACAGCTTCGGAAACCCTATGCAGGGTCACTATGAGTCGGAACCGACTCCACGGCACATAACAACAACAACAACATCTCACATAAAGGAAAAATTAAAAAAAAAAACCAAAACGAACTACTGATATGTGAATCAGAATGGTAAGGACAGGAGTAAGAAAACCATGAGATAGGAAGGAAAACATAGTCAACCACTTAGCTAAAATCACCAGTGAGAGAGAAAAGCTCTTCTCAGATAAGAGAACTGATTTCTAACAAACCAAGTTATTTCTCCCTTACACCTGCCCCCATAAATTTCACCATGGTTATGCTGGTTTTGCTACTGTTAAGTGCTGCTGAGTTGGTTCTGACTCACAGTGACCCTGTATAGGGTTTCCAAAGAGCGGCTGGTAGGTTTGAGGAGTCAAACCTTGTGTTTATCCAACAGTACTACACCAGGATTCCAATTGCTGTTGTTGCTAAGTGTTCACGAGTTGGTTCCAATCAGCGCAATCCTGCATAGGGTTTCCAAGGAGCAGCTGGTGAGTATGAATTGCTGACCTTGTAGTTCGAAGTTCAGTGGTGATCCTACAGCAACACACCAGGAATGCAGGACTCCAATTGTTGCTGTTAAGTACCAGCAAGTCAGTTCTGACTCATAGCGACCCTGTATAGGGTTTCCAAGGAGCAGCTGCTAAATTTGAACCACCGACCTTGCAGTTCATATGGAATCGAATGCTAAAATCAAGAGTATGCTTCAGAAGCATGAGGAGGCAGAAAGCCCGCTACCTGTTCATAAACTATAAAAATGACAAATTTTTAAATGCCAGAATAAGAAAAATTGAAATTCAGACACTCCTGGAGAGCATAATTTCAGATGAAAGAAAAAGTAAACAAGAAATTTTACTGAGAGAGGCCAGATAATGAAATAAAGAGGAATCTTAAAAAGGAATGGCACTTCAAAGATAGTAGTTACATCAGGATGAACAATGATTTAATCTAGGTGAAACGTTTTTGATAATTTTTCCCCAAAATAAAAATGAGAAACCTTGTATTTCAACTACAACTAAAATAGAGAAATTAAAATTCAATCCCAATGAAAACTGTTCTTTTTCAATCGAATATGAAGAGTGAAGAAGTATAGGTATATAAACAAAAGGAGTGAATGTGAAAAAGACCACTTTAAAAAGCTGACAGTGATATAAAGACTTCCGAGACCTCAGCATTGTTGATGCTTACCTCCACCATTTGTTACCACCAAACTGCTGCGGTTCTCTTGGTACTGGCTTTCTCTTCGTAGTCTCTGTTCTTTAGTCATCTCTGCTACTTGAAGAGGCAGATCTGAAAATTCATCTGTAGGCTTACAAGTAGCAGAAACATTTAAAAAACATTATTTCAAAATTTAGACAAGATAAGCATTAAAGGTTTGAGTATAAGCTCATTCAATTTTATATTAAAAAAAGCAGGGTATACATATCTATAAATGTACACATGTGTATAAATTTTCTGCATATACTACCTGTCTGATCTATAGGGATATATCCATACCTATGGACACAACCTCCTAGACATAACCACAGAGGCAATTACTTACAAATTCCAAATGGCCTGCAGTCTAAAAGTGAATTTGCTTTGGCCTCTCAATGAAACAATGATAATGGAGGTTTATCAGTCTACCTAACAAATGCACACTTAATCATTTAATCCAATTTATAGCTGAAATAAAATACCTCAGTAATAAAAAAAAGAGAGAAATTAAACACAGCAGAAAAACAATAGGATTCATTAAGAAAGTTAGCTTCCCCTGCTATCCAAAAATGCAGCACTCCTATGAAGCCTTTTGTAAGCTGAAATGGCATAAAGCAAAGAAGCAATTACCATTAATTTATATGGGAATGTTATTTTTTATCATTCCCAGACCCCAAAAATGGCCTATGAAACCACACAGAAACCTAAAATAACATATATAATGTTCGCAGACACAGTTCAATGCTATGGTGGCTTTGATGTAGTTCCTGCGGAAGGAGTTTGGCCACTCTCGCTGCTTGAGGTGGATGCTACCTCCTTAATGGCTTGCTACAAAATGAACAATGAACAATAGTTTCACTTTTTCACTTTTTTGGTAAAAGTGAAAACCTTATTTAGATTTTATTTTGATTAATGAAAACAGGTATTGCAGGGAAGCTAATTATTTTGGCGCTTCTAGCCAAATGTCTCCATTTTGTGATGTATTGCAAATCCTAGCTTCTATGCCTGTGATTATGGACCCATTTTGAATTACATTGGAACTAAGGACTAAGGATGCCACCCCACCTTAGTAGAGGGTGTGACTCAAATCTGACTTCAATTTATAAGACTGCTTTGGAAAAGCCTGCTCTCTTGCCCTGGATCTTGCATCTGGCTCATTACGTCTGACCTCCAGTTTGTGGGACCTTGGGCCCATCACCTAAACTGATTGATGAGCTCTGGCAGGCCTGTGCTTCAACAGTCTGTGGTCTCACCTGCCGATTAGGTTCCTCAGCTTCTAAGACTATGTAGGTAAGAAGATTCCTCCAGAATGATCTCTGAACCACAGATTTGGGACTTGCCAACTTCTACAATTATCTGATCCATTCCATTTGCCAATTATGAGTTTTGTGGGATGTTGCAGCATATTTCAGAATTATGGGACTTGAAAGAAGAGAAGTGATGACTGATATCAAGCACTATGAAGGGGCCTAACATATTAAAAAAGTCAAACCGTTTGAATACCTTTAATCTCCAACTCATAGGAACTAGCCTTTTGTTGACTTTTATAAAATAAATTATTCATGCAGGTACCAACATAGGTCTTTCACATAAGCAAAGTGATGTAAAGTGAACTTGCAAAAAGCAAAGGATACCTGTATTAATTTTGCATGTAGATATTCTTCACTAGAACTCCCATAGCCTACAGTCCTATTTGTTTCCTTACCCCCGGCTTCAGTTGTAATTGGCTCAGTTCTTAATTGGCTCTCTGGGAGAATATGGAACTATTTCTACAACACAATGAGGTAGCAAACACATAAAAACACACATGGTAAAAAGATGGGGATGAAATATAGTACCATTTTTGGATGGTAGGATTATGTGGTATTTTGGCCCCTCCACTGACTTTTCTGTATTTTACACCATGAGATATTGAATTTAATGAAGATATTTTTCCACTGTCAATGTCTTATTTTCTCTTAATCAGGTGTCACAACATGCAGAATAGGAGAAACACTTACTTCATTCCCTGACCACCGCTTATCACCACTGTCCACGCTATTGAAACCTGAATCAAGGGCTCCATAAGGGCGACTTGAGTACAGTTCTTCATGGCTGCCAAAACATAACTAGTATCACTGTCAAGTTTGATATTTTAAAAATAAATATTTAAAATAAACCAAATGCAATTGCACTAAGCATTTTTCTGGCATTTAGTCATCTTACTATTTAGAATGAATACGGCATTCTTTTAATTTCTTAATACGAAAAATTCCAAATAAAAAATCAACAAATAGAATAGCATACTGAGCCCCATTTACACTATACTCATCACCCATATTCAAAACTGGTTCCCCATGCCCTCCTTTGTTGTTATTTTTAATAGGGTACCTTTTTTTTTTTCCTTAAGTTTTAAGTGAATTGAGTGATAATTTACATGAGAGAACATTGGTTTTACATTCATTCTTTCACTGCAATGATTACAATCACCTCCGTGCACCATTCAACAGTATTTGCTTCTATTCCCTCTGTTTTTTGTTTTTTTGGGGGGAGGGATGATGTAACAAAAACACTCAGGAGTATAAAATTTAAACAAGCAAAGAGCACATTCTGCAAGTCTGCCTCCTGGCCACCAGCTCTCAGTCCTTCTCTTTCCATGAGTCCAGAGTCCTCAGCTACTCCCTCTCTCCATGTCCTCATCTTTGCCTCCATCTCTGGTGTCACAGCTTCTCCGGATAGGGTCTTACATTCTGCTCATGCTCTTCTCCCTTGGTGATCCTAGGGTCCTTTGTTTCTCGGCTGTCAGATTAACTACTCCCCCCTTTTTGTTACAAAACTTCTACCTTTATAGTTGTGACAATCACAATTAGTCATGGTAAGATTCTTATCCCCATCTCTTTTCACCAGATCTGTCTAGACAAGATGAAGACTATTCACTGTGGACTCTATCTTCTCCCACACACTCTTAAACAAAACTCCCTCTTGAAAACTTGTAAGCTGATCATTTCATACCTTTATTGCCCCCTCATTTTAGGTAGCCAATGTTTAAGATGTTTTAATAGGTTACCTTTTAAAGACAAATTTTACATATACTAAAATGCACATCATAACTGTATTATTTTAACAAATGAACATATCATTGTTATAAACAGTCCTGTCATGATATATGGTATTTCTACTTTAACAGAAAGTTCTTGTAGACATCCCCCTTTCTAATCAATCGCCCTCCTTGTGCTTCACAGCAAAGTTGAAAGTCCCCCCATCCCACCAAAAGACATGATAATCATAATGGATTTCTTCTCTTAAATGCTACTACTACTAACTCTCATTCCACGGCTATCGATTTGCTGATAAATTATTAATGCTACACCCTGGTGGTGCAGTGGCTAAAGCAATAACCTGCCAACCTATCAAACCCTCCAGCTGCTTTGATCTCATAAAGACTACAGGTCAGGAAGCCCTATGATACAGTTCTACTTTGCCTTACAGGGTTTCTATGAATTGGAATTTATTCCACAGCACACAACCATCACTGCCACAATACACAGTAGTCTCACAATTACAACATAAATCTTGTCTTGTAAGATGGAGAAAGTACATAAATATTTTACATACAAAGATGTACTATTTATAAAATGGGTAATATATTCTAATTTTGAAAGTCCTACTTAAGTCAGTCCACCTTTCAAATGCTTGTTTGTCTTAGTCCTCTGTCTACATGATCCCTCTGCTTTGATGACTGATTCAGAGTCTATCCTGTAAGGGCAAGTACTGTGTGTGTTTTATCACAGCAAAACCAGGCTAAGACGACTAATTTTAAAATCTTTCTAGTGAGAAATACATTTAAACAACATTAAAAAATCTTTTCAATAGTTGCCAAAAGAAATGTAGTATGTTTTTGCCAACATCCACTGAACAATTAAGTTAATCAGATTTTTCAGGATCAGAAAGGTTAAGTGAATTGCCCAATTACACAGGGAGCCAGAGCTAGAACCAAGACCTTCTGACTCCATGGCCATACTTTGAATTAATACAAATCCAACTATAACACAAGATCCCTGGTGGCACAGTGGTTAAAACACAGTACTACTAATCAAAAGGTAAACCACTTTCCAGAAGTCTGCTCCAGTAAAGATTTACAGTCTTGGAAAACCTATGGCACAGTTCTATCTGACCTATTTGTTGTTGTTAAGTGCTGCTGAGTCGGTTCTGACCCACAGTGACCCTGTATAGGGTTTCAGAGGAGTGGCTGGTGAGCTTGAACCACCAACCTTACAGTTCAAACTCTGACCTATAGGGTCATTATAAGTCAGACTCGACACGATGGCATTGAGTTTGGTTTTTTAGAACTACAACACAATTCCACTAATCTATAGCTCTGTGAGACTCAAAGGTAACAATATCTCATTTACTGGTGAATGAGGAGTTAAAGTTAGGAAATTTTAACATATGCAACTAATAAAAATAATTTCTAGAATGATCAGAAACAATTGCAAACAAAATAACATGTTGTTGAGTGCCAAAGTGTTGGTTCTGACTCACACAGACCTTGCATAGGGTTTCCAAGGAGCAGCTAGTGGGATGAAACTGCCAACCTTGTGGTTAGCAGTCCAGTGCTTATACTACAAGTGCTATGTCATAGCTTTGGAAAAATGAAAACAATAAAGGTTATTATTAGGAATTATTACTGGAATTGCAATGCATTAGATCTATAATTAGTAATTCCTTTGGAGAAAAATGACATCTTTATGCTATTTAGACCTCTAAAGATTTCTCCATTATTCAAGCTTTATTTGATCTCTTAGCAAACAGAAGTACAAGCCAGAATGCTACTTATAAGCCAATATAGCAAGATTTAGTCTCTCATGCTTCAGACATATTTATCAGGAGGGAGCAGTTCCTGGAGAAGGACATCATGCTAAGTAAAGTGGAATGTTAGTGAAAAAGAGGATGACCTCCACCGAGACAGACTGACAAGTGTCAGCAGCAATGGGCTCAAGCTTAACAATGACTGTGAGGATGGTGCACGACCAAGCAGTGTTTTGTTCTGTTGTGCATAGGGTGGCTATGAGTCGGAACCAATGCAACAGCACATGACAACAACAAAAGATACACATATCTTTTGCCAGATGTTTTTGAGAGCATGTTACATGTTTTTAAAATTATATGATAAGCATTGCTCTATTAAAAAAAAAAATCAGGTTCTTGAAGCACTTTTTACAATAAACCAAACGTGGAAATAGCTAAAACATCCATCGACAGATGAATGGATCAACAAAATGTGGTATATATCATGTATACACAATGGAATATTACTCAGCCATAAAGAGAAATGAAATTCTGACGCATGTCACAACATAGCGGAATCCTGAAAACATGCTTAGTAAAATAAGTCAGGTGCAAAAGGACAAATACTATATGATTTCACTTTATATAAAATGAGCAAGTATACAGAAACCAAAGAACATTAGTGGGTATCAGGGCTGGGAGACAGAGATGTGATGGCTAATGTTAATGTGTCAATTTGGCTGGGCTATGGTTCTGAGTGATTTGGCATTTGTTCTTTCATAATGTAATCACTTTACATTTTGTGATCTGATATGAAAGGCTAAATCATTTGAAAGGGGGATTCCTTTGGGGTTGTGCTGTGTTTCCAGTATATAAATGGATGTTCCGCTAAAGCTCACTCTCTTTTTCTTAACCTTGCACTCTTCTGATTGCCTGACCTCTAGTTCTTAGGATGTAAGCCTGAAGAGGTCTCTGGTCTGTTGAGTGACCTGCAGATATTGGATTTGCCACTACTGCAAACCTGTGAGCCAGCAGGGGTTTTTAGTCTGATCCCAGACCCAGGGATTTGGGACTTGCCATTTCCCATAGTTGAACGAGCTGTTTACTCACAATTGTGTGAGCCATTTCCATGAAATAACATTTAAATTTTAAGGTATCATATATATCTTCCATTTTTTGAAATGATAAGTAATACACTTTAGCATTTTCTTGATGAACATCAATACCATATTGTGCTGTGTAATACAGTGACATCGTAAAAGATTGTTGCATATATGCTTAATGGGTTCAAACTGCTGTTTTTAGAGCTTTTCTGCTTTTAAGTGTCTTACTGAAGTTATAAGGAACCCTGGTGGTACAATGGTTAAAGTACCCAGCTGCTAACTGAACGGATGGTGGCTCCATGGAATGAATACGTTATATTCTGCTTTGATATAGGTTACAGCCTTAGAAACTATATGGGGTAGTTCTGCTCTGTCCTATAGGGTTGCTGTGAATCAGAATTCACTCAGTGGCCTGTGTTTCGGTTTTTTTCTTAATTAAAATTATTGACTATATCACACATATAGTGTGATATAGAGTATCTTTAGCAGACATGCTCTGAAAAAATCATGGGACATTATCAATTTCCCTGAAATCCCTCTGTGCCTGTTTCACAATGAATTTATTTCTCTTTAAAGTCAACTACTAACATGAATTTTTGTTTAATATGTATCTGCTTTTTACAATTTTCTTTTTTGCCTTTAGATCATTTTTTGTGTTTGTTACATTTACTAACTCTCAAAATAGAAACCTATTCATGTGTTTTATATTAGGAAACTGAGAAGCTGTACCATTAGGATCAGGCTCTTAAACAATAGTTGATAAGTCCTTATGGGATCTCTGTGTGTCAGAATCAAGTTGACATTTAGTAAAGCAATAAATAAAGAAAAGGTCTGGGGGGCTCTCTTTTTAGTAAAGTTCTTGAGCATGCCTGTACCTTCACTAGGGCACTTACTTTGCCTATTTAAAGGTCTTTTGAATCTAATTGTTATTACTTGATTGCTGCAGATGACTGGGATTGCCAAGTAGATTAATCAGGGGTTATAATATACCTATAGGATACACAAATTCAAAGGTTCTGAAGTGATATGAAAGATAACCAAAATCAATCTCTTCAATGGGAAAAATGAAGCCCAAAAAGTTTGAATGATTGCTTAATTAAGTCATAAAAGCTAGTTAGTAACAGAGGTAGGGTTAGTAATCAACCAGGCTAAAGATTTTCAACTGGGGATGACTGCACCCTCCAGGAACATTTAGCAATGTCTGGAAACATTTTTGTTTTGTCGTACTGGAAGGTGTTACTAGTAGGCATCTAGTGGGTAGAAGGTAGGGATGCCACAAATAACATGCAGAGCAAATTTAGAACAAAGAATTATCTGGTCCAAAATACCAACAGTGCCTGACTTAACACTTTATTCAAATCTATGTAATCAATTCTACACTTACTATGAGCATTATGAGACTAAGATTGTTAAAACAGATTATTTCCTTTTAGTCAAATTTATGGATGCAGTTTATTTGATTCCCTATAAGATGGGATATGAGAGAGAAAGAATAGAACATACTCACCAGGAGCCAAAACCCAAGGGTCTCCTATCATAATCAGGCAGGTCTGGAGCAATCTTACAGGCTTGTATATTCAGGTATTTAAATATGTGGATTTTGCCTTTTATACATATCTAAATAAAGAGATAAATATAACCAAATTATTACTTATCAGAAATATATATGCTCCTTTTTATCATAACCAGCCTTTTACTAAACGTTAAGTTGAGAATAGAAAGCATTTCTATGAAGGGGCTTCAAAAAGTTCATGGAAAAAAATCCAGTATCTTTAAATTCTATTTTTCCATGAATTTTTTGAAGTTCCCTTGTACAGTAATAGTAAAAACAATTATCTTTGCTGTAACAAATATCACACTTTATCATAGTGATTAGGTTTGCATAGTCAGGGATTTAAAGCATTATTCCTACTTCTCCCTATGGATTACGTTGACAAGAACTGCTTTTAGGAATCCAACCATCATGTACAATTATGTTCTCAATCTTTTCTTTCTATAAGAGAGAACAAGAAAATGGTGAAATATTAAAATTATATGGTTCTGTTGCTACTTGCTGACTTTCCCCCCAGAAATTAAAATATAAATTCTTTAGATTATGAGATCCTTCTGTAGTATGAATTCTTATTCATAAAGTTTTAGAGTTGCCATATAGTTATGTTGCTGTTGTTGTTAGGTGCCGTGGAGTCGCTTCTGACCCATAGCGACCCAGTATAGGGTTTCCAAAGAGCAGCTGGTAAGCTTGAATCATAGGCTTGTATAAAATCACAAATAAATTGCAGAGGGAAAAATATGGGTCGACAAAAACTGAACAGATTGTAGGACGTCTAGAATGTATAGTTAAAGCGACTTTATTTATTAAAGAGTCTCATCTCAGTCACTGAAACAAAAGACTAAATTGGTTAAATGAGAAACTTAGAGAAAAGAAAAACACAAAAACAACGTTCACAAAAATGCTTTGGCAAGCTCCAGTTCTGAATTTTTTATTTGTCTCTAATGTGGGGGGGTAGGGGGAAAATCGATTCTCATGAATTTTTGAAGTCCCCTATATTTATGTTAGCTACAATTAAGGGTGTGGCACCGTGGGCTAATACGTCAGACTGCAAAGCTGTTTGAACTGCAAGGTCAGTAGTTCAAGCTCACCAGCTGCTCCTTGGAAAACCTATATAGGGACGCTATGGGTTGTAATCAACTCGAGGGCACTTAACAACAACATACTAAAATTAAGAAATAACTCAAATTACGTTAGAAAAAATTTCACGTTTTATTAGAAAAATCTAAAACACCAATTTAGTTAAAGAGAAAAGAATTCTAGAAACATCTCTTTCATCCCATTTAATGTTTCTAAAGAATACATGTTTGTGAATTTATTTTTAAAGAATTTCCAACAGAAAGATAAATACATGTAAATTAAAATTAAAATTTGATCCTCGAACCAAAAAAGTTCATACATACTTGAAACTCAGCTATGGTTTACCTGTGCAGGAGGAGACTGTAGTGGATTGTTATCTAGAGTGATCATCTGTAGATGTCTGAGGTTCCGATAACAAACAGGAATTGTTGTAATTTTGTTGCAGGAAAAGTCTAACCGTATCAAAGGCAGCTCTGCTAGTTCTGCATGGTGGTGAAATAAAAATGAACAATTAATGGTATTTTAAAACTAGACAATCTTTATAGGAAACTCTAATTAAATACAGTGCATTTGACATAGGTGTTTACTCATTAAAATCTCATTAAAATTAGAATAAAGGAATAAAGACATAACCCTGAAAGAACAAAAAGAAGGGGAGATAACAACAAATGCTTGATGATAAAAAAGCAAAGAAACTTCACCAAGGAAGAGATCCATGCAGCCAACAAACACATGAAGAAATGTTCATGATCACTAGCCATTAGAGAGATGCAAATCAAAACAACAATGAGGTATCATCTCACACCAGCAATAACAGCAAAGATCAAAAAAGTAGAGGGCAATAAATGCTGGCAAGCATGCAGAGACTGGGACCCTCCTACATTGTTGGTGGGATTGCAAAATGGTCCAAACCACTCTGGAAAGCAATATGGCACTTCTTCAGAAAGCTGGAAATAGAAATACCTTATGATCCAGCAATTCCTCTATGTGGTATTTACCCACAAGAAATACGAGCCATCAGCAGCGAGGCAAGACCTGGGGACTCATGGGCTCAGAGTCAGTGCCACAGACACAGAGAACAAGAGTGGAGAGCAAAGCGACTAGCTCATAAGAAGAGGGCGGACAGACGCAAGAACACCCACATTTGCAGATGATTCCCACCCCCTCCGCACAAAGAGTAGATAGGGATGGGCAACTTGAACATTG